GCATTGTAATGCATTATATCCTTTCATAAATAATTGTAACCCAAGTTAAAATGCATTATAATATTTGATAATGGTTTGTTTGTCATGTGTGCATTGCACTCTCTAAAGGTGTAACAATGTAAAAGAACTGAACTGAAATCAAATATTCTTGTCAAAACCTAAACTAATCTGTCTATCTATTCCTCCATCCAACCTACAAGACACAAATATTATTAAATATAATTTTATATATATTTACTATTTTATATAAATGTATCTATAATCTCAAATCCTAAAACACTGACACCTGCTGGTCGAGATGAGCAAACAGCAGACTGCTTCAACTCGCTTCATCCAAAAATGACTACATTTATTAATCTGTATTCAATAAATTCCAATAAATGGGGTTAACTTGTTGTATAACATTATTTATTTATTTTGCATTGCCCAAAAATAACTTATTTTATCATCTTCAGTTGATTCTATAGAGCATAATTACAGCTCAATATAATAACGTTCAAAGAAAAGCTTTATACAGTGTTGTTATTGTCAAAAATGTATTTTTGCATGGAAGAAATGAATGGCACTTTTTACCTCTGAAATCCGTCTGCTGCGCTCTAAAATGCAGAATTCATAGTGTGCCATTTTTTTAATAACACTGAAACAGAATAAACTTCTGGAAATCCCAGCCTCACTTGACTACAGACTGAGAGAGAAGTGAAACTCAGAGAAAAACTCATTCTGTTCTCAGAACTGAACATGAACCGCTGAGAAAAACACCCTCAGGAAACCAGAACAAAGAAATCAGTTTCTGACTGAATGCAATCATCCTTTCACTAAATCGGTTCTTTCATGCTTCAGTTTTTGCTCATCATGTGTGGCATAATATTGTATATCAGAAAGGAAAAAATATACATGCTATGCTTCCAGACAATTTAATTATGATTTCTATCATTTTATTTATTTTTTACATAGACAGCATGCATACATTTGATCTAGCCAAATAAATTGTATTTCAAGCTATAAATAACTAGAAAAATATTCACTACAGGAATATCCATGATCTCCATGACGTTTCCAGGTGTGGAAATCAACATTTCAGAATTTCTCTGATATTTCCAAGACTGGATATATGAATATACATGGGGTTCAAAAAGTCTGTGACCACATTCAAAATATGATTTAAATTTTTTAAAAATAATTATTATTTTCAAAAATAGGTTTAAAACATATTTTTTACAAAGATTTAAAAAAAAAAATGTAATGCTAAAAGGAAGTTATTACTTCAAATTAAGAAATATTTCAGATTTGACGGTCACTAACTACTGTAAATGAGTATCATGACTTTTCCAGCTGGATTTTTAAAAATGGTTTTACATAGAAAGCATGCATAAATCTATCTAGCCAAATAAATTGTATTCAATGCTATAAAAATACCTAAAATATTCTCTACAGAAATGTCCATGACTTTTTAATATTTTATTAATCTACATGATGTTTCCAGGTTTGGATATCAACATTTTGGATTTTTTTCTTTTACAAGACTGTGCAAAAAATATGTAAGAAAAGCAAACAAACAAATAAATACAAAAATAAAAATCAATTAAAATAATCATGTTTTTAAATTCAGATATATTTGAAAATATATAATAGATTTTTCTATTGAAATAAAATAGGAAAACAAGATTTTAAATATGTAGTTTCAGCATAACAGCCTTCTTCAGGACACACATCAATTGCTCAAACAGGTATTCTTAAACTAGTGGTAATTATTGAATAATCAAAGACAGCTGGTTAATATAAGACTAGCCTCTTGGTACAGAGAGAGAGAGAGAATTTTTTTTCTCTCATTATTATTATTAGTATTCACTTTTTTGTCCTTTTTTTTCTCTCTCTCTTTGTACCAAGAATCTAGTCTTAGCCCAGTTCATTAAAGGCTTTTTATCTTACCACGTGAGTGCCTTGGAAATATTTCGCCTACATAATTTGATGTTTACCTCCACCACATCCAATGAGCACCAGTGGCTATGTAAAGACACCCGTGTAGCACGCTCTGCTTCTGTTTTTGTAAGATTTTAATATGTAATATGATTTTTAAAAATGTAATGCTAAAAGAAAGTTACTATTTAAAAAATATTTACGGCACAAGCTGTATAATATCTACACCATTTCTAGGTCACTTATGTAAGAAAACCAGACTGTCAGATGTTCTTGATACTCTTTGGATCATCTTAAATCATGCTGAAGAACATGATCATCAGGTTTAGTTCATATAACACAAGTGCTGCTTTATTAAATCAAAAAACACCCCAAATACTGACGCATTCCTTTTTCAGTCAAATAGTTATGCTAATTTGATCATTTCTAATGCAAAATGATGTAGAAAGGAATGCAGAGCAGATGCATTTTCACTAGCGCTCTCAGACGTTTGGTCTGTGAATGAAGACACAACATGAATAAAACAAAAGTGTGTTTTTATTCAAAAGTTCTCAAAGAAATGAACAGAAATAAAGCTTAGTTAACAATCTACTGGAAACAAAGGGGAAAAGGGAGAAAACAGCTTTTTTTTGGCTTAAACACTCAGAAAATAAAAAGAAACAAATACAGAGGAAGATTTCTGATAAACCGAATGTACAAGATACCACTGGCAAGTGCGTGACACATGTAAAACAGAGAAAGAAATTACAAAATCAACTCTCATATAGTCATCTCTATCAAAATCTTTTTTATTGTTTTTATTTTTTCAAACAGTCTACACAGACACAGACACAGACACAGACACAGACACACACAATAATGGACTCGGCTGTGAGCTGAGCACCGTGGATAACGCCACTAAAAGTCTGTCTGGACTCAGTCTGAAAGCAAAAGTATGGAAGCTTGTTTCTGACACGGGATAAAAAAAATATCAAAAAGGAAATTGCGAATTTTTCTCTCACAATTCTCACTTTTTTTTTTTTTTGCAGTTATGAGTTTATATCTAACAATTCAGACTTTTTTTCTCGCAATGGCAAATGTATCTCATTTTTTCTCAAAATTGCGAGTTTATATCGTGCAATTACAAGTTATAAACTTGTTTACAAAGTTTACATTTCACAGTTCTTGACTTTTTTTCTTGCAATTCTGAGAAAAAAGCCAGAATTATTTAATGTTAACTTGCAATTGCAAAATATAAACTCGCAATTCTGAGAAGAAAACTGAATTGTGAGATAAAAAGTTTTTTTTACATTTTTTTTTATTCCATGATGGAAACAAATTACAACTCACAATTCTGGGGGAAAAAAAAACAAATGCAAGATATAAACTTGCAATTCTTAGAAAAACAAGTAAAAATTGTGAGACAAAAAGTTGCAATAACCTTATTTATTCTTTATTCTGTGGTGGGGAAAAAAAGAAAACTCTGAATTCAGAGAAAAATAGTCAAAATTGCGAAGTGTAAACTCAGAAAAGTCAGAATTACAAGAATTAAACTTTCAGAATTGTGAGATAAAAACTAAAAATTCAAAGAAAAAAGTCAGAACTGTGAAATGTAAACTCGCAATTACAAATTTGCAATTGCAAGATATAAACACTATTCTGAGAAAAAAATCTGAACTGTGAGATATCAATTTGAAATTGCAAGAAAAAAGTAAAAAGAGATAAAGTTTTTTATTTTTTATTCTGTGGTGGAAATGAAAACAGAATTGCAAGATGTAAACAGAATTCGGAGGAAAAAAAGTCGCAGTTACCTTTTTTTTTTTTAAATATTCTGTGGCAGAAACGAGCTTCTATACAACAGTGATGTCTCGGGAAAACCGCAACTTTCAGCATCGCTGTTTCTCATTGGCTCTGTCTCTCGCGCGCGCACTTTCTTGTCTACTTCCTATGGACTACTGGAATATCTTGTGATGAAAAGCAGCAGTTTTTTTTGCTTTCGAAACGATGAATCTGAATGCTAAACAACACTAAAACGACACATTCAACGCACAACTTTCCTTATAACGATAAAAATAATAAAAGAAAACTTTTCTGTTTGAAGAAGAAGAAGAAGAGGATTAAAGTATTTAAAAACAAAAAAACCTGAAAGAAATCAAGTGTAAGTGGGCAGCTCCAGAGCTGGCCGTTTGGTCTGGAGGGGCGGGCTGAACCTGCTGCCCGACCAATCAAAACAGAGGACAACAAAACTCTGAGGTAGATAACCGGTCAACAAGACCCACCAGGTCAAAAACACAGTCTTTTGGAAGACAAATTAATGAATAAAGCCTTAATAAACTATATTGTGAGTTTAGAAGAGAATAAAAACATTTTCCTGTAATGGATGCGATTATTATTTCAAAGGCTGTGTCCTAAAACCTTGTGAGCTGCCAACTGTATTTTCTGGAAAATCAATTTTTTTTTTATTACCTGAAACAATGTTGCATATATATATATATATATATATATATATACATATATATATATATATATATATATATAAACAATTTATATGATGCAATTATTAACATCAAGCATGCAAACATGTTGGTTGGAGTTACATGTCTGATGTTTATAATGAATGCAGCTATAATTTGTTTGCTTTATACTTATATTTTCATTCCTGTTCTAAATAACATTACATTTAAAGGATTTATTGTGGAGCGAGGGGAACTAAAACACATGCTTATAGTGTTTTTGTTTGTAAATGTTAACTTTATCTGTAGTTTACACTCTTTCTGAATGTAATAAAATTGCAACTTATCTGTGTCTTTTTTCTCAATTTTGCCCCGGGGGTCTGAATACTTAGGACCATGTGATATTTCAGTTTTTCTTTTTTAATAAATCTGCAAAAATGTCAACAATTCTGTGTTTTTCTGTCAATATGGGGTGCTGTGTGTACATTAATGAGGAAAAAAAATTAACTTAAATGATTTTAGCAAATGGCTGCAATATAACAAAGAGTGAAAAATTGAAGGGGGTCTGAATACTTTCCGTACCCACTGTATATATACCAAAACAACTTATATAATGCAATTATATAATGCACCTGTATTTTACATTATTTCTGAATGCAATAATAAAACTGCAACTTATCTGTGTTTTTTTTTCTCAACAATGCAATTTTGACCCGGTGTGACTTATAGTGACTTATTTTCCGCAAAATACGGTACTTTTTTTTTTAGGCAGTATGATACCTACTTTTGTCACATTCTAAGGAAGCATCACACATATCCTTCACTTAGAAGGCAAATTCATGATGCATTTTGGGTAAAAAAATACATCCAAAAACTGTTGAATATAAAGATAATTTATTCAAAACAGAAAAGCAGCTAAAAATAGTTAAATTCTAATGAAAACCAACTAATATTTTTCTGTGCTTTGTACTGTAATTTTACTGCTAATATTCCAATGGAAAGCTCCATTGAAATCTATTTGCATGATGCATGTGGATCATGTAGAATTACTGAACTATGTAGGCAGCTCACGAGGGTTTTGGAACGGAGCCGTCGTTTCAACCTGTCCTCATTCCCTGTTTTAGTTTCAGTTGTCTCCGCTCTGTAGTGATGTTTTCGTTTAGTTTGTGGCACTTGCTGCATCCAAATCGTCCTTCAAATCGGTGTCCGCACCTCGCCAACTAAAGACAGCTGAATGCATATGTACAAAGAAGGCACATTCTCCACAACTGCAACCTAGTCTGTTATAAAGTCTCAGCGTGGCCTGCCTCAAGAGAATATGACGTCACATCCGCACTATCCGCTTGCTGACTGTCTTTGGTGAAGTAAGGTTTTACTCTGAACGATATTCGATCTGACAGGCCACGCCTCCCTCCCGCCCCCTCATTAGAATACAAGACAAAGCTCCTCCCCCTCCCACAGGAGCTCATCTAAAGCTAAACTACAACACCAAGATTTATAAACGAAAAGGCAGTTATCAAATATGTGATCGTTCAGCAGAATTTCTACCACATTCAAACAACTAAAGGCTCATCGTCACCTCTGATTATAAAAACATTAAATCCTATTAAAACTCCATCAATGTTATCACTCAAAACGGTTTGTACTCTAAAAGATTGGAAAAAGCAAAACACCGAAATCCAAGCACGATGTTCCTTTGCGAGATGCTAAAAAAGCCCTATTCAGCTGATTTACAAAAGGCAGCAGCCGGACCTCTTTTCTTCGGCTACTGTACGGGAAAGAGTTTAAGGCAAATCGTATAAGATGGACAGATCGGTCAGACCGAAGACGAAGCACACGACAAAAACACATCAACGACACTCACACCGCAAGCACAAACGCATCTTTCTCAGGATGTCCGGCTGATAAATCTCTAAAAACGAACGTCTGTTTCAGTACAAAAGAAGAGAGAGAAAGAGAGAAAACAAATCTGAAATCATAAACATAAGAAGAATCTCCATGCACGTCGAGTCGCATGATGAAGTTCCTGCATCTATGTGACGATCCTTGGTAAAAAATAAGCGTCGTTTCCTTAGTAAAATAAAACTTTTCTTTTTCTTCCCATTTTGTTTTTTCTTTGTTAGCATCCTCTGATGAAATGAATCCTTGATTTGCACCTAATGGAACTTATACCAAAATAGTTGAAGTAGTTTTATTATAAAAACGGAGGAACTCATCGTAGAACCTGTGCAAAATCTTGATTCATCGGTAGAGCGGGTCCTTCAAAGGAAGCTGTTATTGATTTAGCAGTCGTCTCCTTCTCTCTCAAACCCCGACAACCCTGCAAGAGAAACAAACGCAACACTTTAAATTAGGGGTGACCCCAAATAGTCGAAGATTCGATGCTTCGATAGGAGGAGCCTGATTTGACTACCAATCTCACAGTCGAATATTCGCGGGGTGTTATGATCATGCCATTTTGGCTATATGGGGGTGCTCAAATGTCTGATTTCACATAGAACTACCAGTTTTCTCCCAAAGTTAATATACAGCTTTGCTCGAGACTAAAAAAAACGAATTGAAAGAGTACCGAGCCGCGGAAGAGACACTGTTTCTCAAGCGCTTTCCGCGAGTGCGATTCGAGACGAAGTGAAACATGGACAAATGCGTTTCATTCATTCGTTCACACAGTTTTACGTAGGGCCCCCAGAAGTCTAGGATCGGCACTGCAAACAAATACAGAGCCTATTAAAATAATGCTGTAAATAAGAATCTGAAAAGAAAGAAGCTTCAAATAAATATTTTAACATGTGTGAATAAATCCAACCACCCTTATAGACTTAAGTTTCACTTTCCATAATCCGTGACCGACAGTGGAGCATCTCGGCGGCAGTGATTTTAAACTTTAACGACTCAAATTGACACAGGTAGGGCCCCCTTGCTCTCAAAGATGATTTAATTTTAGTTTCGTTTTTAATTTGGCCAGCGGTTATGAAAACAGGAATGATCATTTCTTTTAATGCAGTGCGCTGTCGCCCTTTCTATTTAAAAATCAGTCAAATCATGTAATGTGAATGACGTACAGTCTTGCTCGAGACTAAAAAAACGAGTTGAAAGCGTACCGAGCCGCGGAAGAGACACTGTTTCTCTTACACATTTTCCCTGTGTGGTAACGTAATTATGACTGTCGAATGTCTGACTTGACTCTTGGTAATGTATTTTGCCCCGCCCCCAAAACATATGATTCGACTATCAGTCGAATATCGGTAAGATTCTAAAATTCCGATTTGACAATGAAAATCCTTAGTCGGGGACACCCCTACTTTAAATCAACAGTGTGTCCAAACTTGAACATTAAGCAAGGATGCATTAAATTGATCAAAAGTGACAGTTCTACAATGTTAAAAAAAGATTTGTATTTCAAATAAATGCTGTTCTTTTGAGCTTTCTATTCATCAAAGAACCCTGAAAAATAAAATGAATCCTGCTTTCCACAAAAATGTGAAGCAGCACAACTGTTTTGAACACTAATAATCAGAAATGTTTCTTGCAGCAAATCAGCATATTAGAATGATTTCTGGGATAACATATTTTCCATTATCTTTTGATAATCCTTTGACTAATCACCAATTTCTCACAAACACCATATTTTAGATCTGAGCAGGGTTATTATAGTTAACTAAAACTATATATATATATATAAAAACATTTTCATGACTTGAAACAAAATAAATGTTAACTGAAATAAAAAAATAAATAAAACATTTTATTTCAGCTAGTTTCCAAGGCAACATTTCTAAATTTAATTTAGTTTAAATCGATGTACTAAAATAATTAAAACTAAAACTTGAAATAAAAATAAAAATAAAAATGATAGACATATTTAAAACTAATAAAAATGACAAAAACACACAACAAAATTACTAAAACTTTACAATTAACATGAAATGAGAAAATCTAACTGAAAATATTAACAAAAACTATAATAGTATACTGATACAAAATAACTGGATTTGAGCATTACAATCAAAAATTAATTTTCAGGCATGGAAATTACAACTTTAAAATTCTTTTTTTTTTCAGGATCAGTAAAGCAGGAGACACAGAAGCACTCAAACTAATATTGCATCTGTGAAACCTGTTTACACTGCCAGACAAATCATTTCAGAAAGATGTAAACCAATAATGCAGCAACACTTGAAATGACCTCTAAACATTTACATAAGAATCAGGCACAAGGTTTAATCCTCCTGGAACCCAGAAAGTCATTTTGATCTTCTGTAAAGGACATTCGATTGGAGAATTTCTTTTGAGAATATACATACAGTCCTGGTGCATCTTAAACAGGACATCCTGAGCTTTGCACACATATCAAATAGAGTCGGGTTTGACAACTTCTTCACTTCGTTTTTTTTAAATGGCTGACAATTTCTGAAAATTTAAGATAAGAGGAACAGCAAGTTTATTATTAAGTCCTGATCAATATCATTGAGACTCTATTATAAATATTTTTAATTACTTTTAATTTTTGCATTTTCTGTATTCATTTTAATTTTAGTTAAAGTTTAAGTAATTTTGTTGTGTATTTACAGTGTTTATTAATTTTTATTTCAGTTAGTTATTTTAGTACACCAAGTTAAAAAATTAAAATAGAAATACAAAAATAAGTTATTCTAAATTGTACTAGTATTTCACAATATGACTGTTAATGTTTAATGTATTCTCAATTTCTCAACAACAACAAAAATCATTTAGATCTGATTTTCCATTTTCATTTTACTTAAAGTTTTAGTAATTTTGTTTTGTGTTTTTGTTATTTTTTGTTGTGTTTTTGTTGTTATTTTGTTAAAATAAATATAACAAAAACAAAATAGCTGAAATGTAAAGAGTTTTGTATTTTATTTTAGTTAATGTTTATTTTATTTCAAACGGCAAAAATGTTTTGTTTTTTTTCTTTATGGTTTTAGTTTTAGTTAACTATAATAACCCCAGTCCTTATTGATTTTATTTCATTAATGTTCAAATGGTTTCTTGTAAATAAACATCGTATGTGTGTGGATGAACAGATGTGAGTTGTAGTACCTCTTCATCACTTGGCCTGCTGATAGGTATAAGGTGAATGATCATTGGACGATTCCACTTGAGGTTGTGGACTGTTCTCCTACAACAAAACATGCGGTTTAATTTCTCACATTTATGCACCAAACCAACACAACCAGCACAAATCATGCAAGTTCAAATCAGATCAGAGATCTGCAGTGCTAATGTAATTAGGGATGCACCGAAATGAAAATTCTGGGCCCAAAAATTCATCATTATTTTAATATATTTTCTAAAATGTTTTATTGCAGAAATTAAATGCAATACCCACAATACTACCATGTATAAATACTTTAATAGTTTAATTTAAATAGTAATAATTTACTGTTATTGTTATTATTATTATTATTATGCATCACAGTTATGAGGATTTAGGAAGAACATGCTTAATTGTCATGAAAATAACCTCACAGTATATAAAAAAAAAAATCAATGTTCCTAAAAACAGGCTTTATTTTCTTCTAAAATCTTCTATTTTATTTCTTTTGTTTGATTTTGTTGTGAAATGTTCCCTGGACATGTTCTTCACAGGTTTTGTGCGATTTACTCGAGAACATTTCAGCACAGCGGCAAGCCCAGTCTGTTCCTGATCTTTTCTCCATTTATGGTGATCGTGAATTCAGGAAGTTCTTCAGTGCAGGATGAGGTTAAATCTGTGTCTGGGAAAGTGTTTTTCGTCATGAACCCACCTCTACTGAGACGGTGGTGGTCTGCATGTGAGTGTATGGAGGGATATAGGGCCCCTGGAGAGCTGGACTCGTTGGCATAAACTACAGAGAGAGAGATGAGAGAGATTCACATGAACACACCAACATATGCTGCTACAGTACAAATCTGCACACATTGTGTTTCGTGCTCTCATTCCGTCAGCAGTTTTTTATTTGGTTGCTTTTGTGCATTTCTGCTGAGTTGTGCATGAGTCATGTGTTGCCTGCATGTGTTTAAATATACATTTTTGCAGCGTTTGCCCAGTATATGCAGAATCAGTGATCATAATGCAAAAAATATATATATATTATTGCACTAAAATTTCCAACATAAAACTTTAACTTTTCATTATGTACAGAAAATGTTATTCCATGTTATGTTTTAATAGAAACTTGATTATTCACCAGTAGGTGGCGAAGCATTCAAGATCAGTCATGCAGCTTACTCTAAATAGAATACTAACACTCTATTTCGGCAGTATATAGTATGCATACTGTGCACAGCATGCACATTTGTATGCATGCATATCCGGACCCAATGCATTTGCCAAAATGTGCAGTATACACTGCATAAAAAATTATCCCATAATGCAATGCACTCACTTGACTCAACTAGACTTGTGCCGGTATTCGGTAATGCGGTATATAAAAGCATTAGCAATTAATCGCAACATGAAAATTTGATACCGGCATATCCCTAGACTCAACACACTTGACCTTTTAAAATGTAATGACAAAAGTAATATCACATGTGTATTTTAATAATTCTATTTCGATTCATTATTTGGGATGCCAAATATTAGGAAATTAGGAACGTTTAATTCAAATGCAAAATAACTTTTTATTTAACTGCCATTCACATGCAATGTGATGAGGTCATGTGACAGCAATTTAATATAACTTATGCGTGATAATACCGTATACCGTGATAAAAGCATTAGCAATTAATCGCAACATGAAAATTTGATACCGGCATATCCCTAGACTCAACACACTTGACCTTTTAAAATGTAATGACAAAAGTAATATCACGTGTATTTTAATAATTCTATTTCGATTCATTATTTGGGATGCCAAATATTAGGAAATTAGGAACGTTTAATTAAAATGCAAAATAACTTTTTATTTAACTGCCATTCACATGCAATGTGATGAGGTCATGTGACAGCAATTTAATATAACTTATGTTTGATATATTTATCATTTCATAGTGCATACTGTTTCGCAGTAGTAGGCGGTATGCAGTGTATACTGCAGTATGCAAACGCTATTGCATTCTGTCTGCATTCACAGACTTCAACAGCTGGAAATGATTTTGTGGATTTTATAGAAACAAAACAACACATATGTAAGCGCTCAAGTGTTGATTGTGCTCACCGTTCCTGCGCTGCCCAGAGAGAGGTGACTCATCTGCTGAGCGAGAGGACCCAACATGGACGCGGGCTGCAGAGACATGGAGTGATCTATAGAGGGCGATATCACTGCTCCCTATGACACAACGGGACAGTTACATTACATTTACTCATTTAGGAAGTAAAAGCAAGAAAGGCACATACTGCATATACATTTCCTTTAATTACTGGTTCATAAACGATGTGCATGCATTTTCCACGGATATTATTGTTAGCTAAAATAGCTAAATTCATTGTCGTTAACTGAAATAAGGCTGAATTAAAATATTCGATTTTTAAAAATTAGATTAAAAATGTAAACTTAAACTTCATTGAAAATGAAAAATGTCGCCTTGGCAAGTAACAGAAATAAAATACAATAAAATAAAAATAAAAATATTTGTTGAAAATGAAAAATGTCGCCTTGGCAAGTAACAGAAATAAAATACAATAAAATAAAAATATTTGGCTATTTTACTCAATATGCATTTTCAAGTATTTGCAGTATGAATTTGCTCTTTCCAGTATTATTGTTAAATGAAACTAAACCTGTTGTTGTTCTTTGAAATAAAGCTGAAATAAAATACAATTGAAATAGTAGATAAAAAACCTAAACTTAAAAAAAAATCAACTAACTGAAATATAAAATAAAAAAGTATTAATTTTTAAATAATGATTGACTATTTTACTCTATATGTGTACTATGTATTTATAAGCATAAGCAGTATTAATTTGCTGCTCTTTCAGTGTTGTTATTGCTAACTAAAACTATTAAAATTTGCTGTCGTCAATTGAAATTAAGCTAAAATAAATTCTAAATATTAGATGAAAAACCTCAAATTAAAAAAATATATATAGAAAATGAGATGTTGACTTGGCAAGTAACTGAAATAATAAACATGTAAACAATTTAAAAATGATGCTGTGGCAATTAACTGAAAATAAAATAAATAAATAAATAAAATAAAATAAAGGACAAACTCCTTATGTAGCCCACTTGTCAGGACACTTTCGGGTGATTGGAGCACCCTAGGTTTCTCTGGGATGTGCGTGCTGAGTCCTGGTTTCTTATTCTGTGAGTCAGACTCTGTAAATCTCTGAGCTATCAGCGTCATTACTGGCCTTTAAATCCACAGTTTCCTCATTTATGATCGACGACGCTCAGCTCTATACGTACTGACTCACACCAGTCATTATATACACATTACTTACACACACCCACAGAAAAACAAACACACACAGTCTCATTTAGACGCTCCCTGTGTGACAGAGTCATTCATGCATCTTCACTTATTACCATCACTGATCTCACACACACA